GCAGGAGCTCCATGTCCCTCTGGCCCTGAGGAGCCAAAACTGGACTGTCTGGTCCCTCACCCTTCTCTTTGCAGGGGACAAGGAACCAGGACAGCTCTGCATTGCCTGCTCCCCAGAGCAAGAAGTCAAGCCCTTAGCAGATAATTTGATGCCTGATCTTTAAGATTTCCTCCATTTAAGAAAATGCTGAAAATTCCTTTTGGCCAGTTGTCCAAATTGGACTTCTTCCACAAGTCTTGTAGGTGTCTCTGAGTGTGAATCTGTGTACATGCAACCATAGTAATTAGCTTAGGGAAAGTGCCTGGCAACTCAACCCATGCAAAATGCATATAAATGCTGTGGAAAAAAAAAAAAACAGGAAAGATTTTACTGCTCTACTTGTCACACAGATTTATAGAAGAAAATTGTGTGTTTAGCTTAGAGGGAATTCAAGGAGGAAAATGAAAGGACAAGTTAATTGTAACGACAGTTTGAATTACTTGAACAAATATATTTTGGGAAATGGGACAGAACATTAGAGCTGTAAAACTTTCTAGCTTCCTGGCTCTTTGCATTTCATCTGGATTTTTATTAGGCTCCAAATTAATTTCAACCATGAAATTTTAAACCTTTCCTATTAAGGTGCATAATGACCACACTTTTATAGGACACCTTCAGTGATGTGTACAGATTGTGACTGCAGCAGCCTCCAAGTACAATTATTGCTCTTTTCACATCAAGAATTTCAGGAGAGCTGCCCATCCACAGAGCAGGAGAGGCAAAGTTATTCTGCTGTTAAGAGGGAGACACTCCCCAAGGAGCTGCACAAGTGAAAGACAATATCACTTGCACCAGAGAGAAGCCTCAGCACCTAATACAAATTTCTAGGTGCTGATAGGACATTTGCAAGACTGTCTGAGGAAGAAAGGAAACTCCTCCTTGGGTCAGATCTGGAGACACTAACCACCTTGGGTGTATCACCCTAGCACCAACCTCATCATAGAATCAGAGAATATTAGTGGTTGGAATGGAGCTGAGAGCTGACCCAGCCCCAAGCCCTGCCCTGGGCAGGGACACCTCCCACCAGAGCAGGTTGCTCAAGGCTCAGCCAACCTGGCTGTGAACACTGCCAGGGTTGGGGCAGCCACAGCCTCCCTGGGCACCCTGGGACAGGGTCTCACCACCACAACAGGCAAAACTGCTGTCTAACATCTAACCTCAATTTCCCTCCTTCCATTTGTGCCCATTGCCCCTTGTGCTGTCCCTGCAGCTCCTAACACAGATCCCTCTGCAGCTTCCCTGGAGCCCCTTCAGCTCCTGCAAGGTGCTCTGAGCTCTCCACACAACCTTCTCTTCTCCAGGCTCAACAGCTCCAACGCCCAAGTCTTTCTCCTCATTGCTGCTCTCAATG